AGATGTCTAACTATCTTGCTTATAACTCTCCAATGGATTTCCTTCCAACACACTGTGAAACCCCCAACATCATCAGGGCCTCAGGACCCTCCTTGCTCTGGCTTCCACCTCTCTAACATCTCCCCCAGTCTTCCCTTCCTCCCTGTGCTCCAAAAACACTGGCTTCCTTTCTGTCCTTGAACATGCGAAGTATGCTCAGGGCGTTTGCATTTCTGGCCTTTGTGTATACTCTATATGTAATTTAATATATATAGTATATAAAAATATATACATACTGTATAACAGTGTCAGTCATATAGATATTCATTATATATCTATTATTTATTATCTGCCCTACTATCTACTTTAATAACATACATTCCATGAGAACTGAATCTCTGTATTGCTTACTCCTGTACCCTGAGTGATCTGAACAATATCTGGTACATAGCAGACTCTCAGATATTTCCTGAGTGAGCAAATGAATAAGTGAATGGATCAATAAGTGAATGAATCATTCCAGCAGAAGTGCTAAAATTGAGCCTCACTGAGTTAGGTGCCCTCGCCTGGTGCTAGAGGGTGACATCTGTCTCTTCCGAACTCGGTGGATTAAAAGTGAGTAAGAGGGGGCTGGCCCCATGGCCGAGTGGTTAAGTTGGCGCGTTCCCCTTCAGCGGCTCAGAGTTTCGCCGGTTCGGATCCTGGGCGTGGACGTGGCACCGCTCATCAGGCCACGCTGAGGTGGTGTCCCACATGCCACAACCAGAGGGCTGACAACTAGAATATACAACTATGTACTGGGGGACTTTGGGAGGAAGAAGAAGGAAAAACAAACAAAGAAGATCGGCAACAATTGTTAGCTCAGGTGCCAATCTTTAAAAAAAAAAAAAAGGTGAGTAAGGGTCACATTTCTTGAAAAATCTAGATTTTGTTACTCAAAGAAAGAGAAGAGGCTGCTGAGGAGGGGTAGAATATGGTCCACCGTTCTAGACTTCTTCTGTCTTTCTGTCACCAATGCCTCTGTGTTAATAGCCGGAATATGTTGGTTTCTATCTGTTTTCCAACTCTCTTCTTAAAAACGTTATTACATCTTCTTTTGAGAAAGCATATCTATCTTTTATTTTCTCACCACATTGGCATTGATTCTCAATTTCTTGTTGCTAGTGTTCTTGCCCCAGTTTGATCTCCTGCCACCCAGGATCTCCTGAACATGGCTCTTATTCTGTCATTTCTTTTTCTTTTTCTTTTTTTTGAGGAAGATTAGCCCTGAGCTAACATCTGCTGCCAATCCTCCTCTTTTTGCTGAGGAAGACTGGCCCTGAGCTAACATGCATGCCCATCTTCCTCTACTTTCTACGTGGGACGCTTACCACAACATGGCGTTTGCCAAGTGGTGCCACGTCCGCACCCAGGATCCGAACCGGGGAACCCCGGGCCACAGAGAAACGGAACCTGCGAACTTAACCACTGCGCCACCAGGCCAGCCCCTGTCATTTCTTTTAAAAGATGCATGCTCGATTCTTTTGTCCATAATCAGACAGAACTTGTTAAAACAGCCATGACCTTCCAATTAGACTTATGTCCTTATTACCTATCCCTGAATATAGCTTAGTTCATGTTTTCAGAAAATCCACAATTTTAGTTCTAAAATGGATTTTACAGAAAAGCTGGTCAACCCTTTCTTTGGGGAGAGACATGGAGAGAAGGAATGTAAAAAAACTGAAGCCTAGAGAAATGACCTATTCGGAACAAAATTTCGGCACAATCACACCTAGACTCTGGGTGTCTTAAGCCCTCAATCTGAGTTGCTTCTTTGTGCCGGGCTCCACCTGGTCTCTGCTGCGTCCGATTCCCTTTATCTTTGACTCCCAAGCACCATTCTACCCTCCTGTCCAGCTGAGGTCTATCTCTTTCCACAGAGTTTTTCTGATTACGTAGTTTTCATAGAACTCCAAATATTACTGAAATTACTAGCCATATTATGCACTTCTGCAGTTACTTTTAATACTGCCTTTTGCAATCTTTTTCTCGTATTTTATTTTAGGCCTGTGATAAAGTAACTTATAATAAGAAATAGATTTTTTGATCTTTGTCTGTGGTTCCTGGTACATGGATTCTAAAACCCTTGGAATTTCCTAAGTGATAAATGCAATAAGGGTGAAATGGGTGTCTTTAGTTATTCATAACACACTCCTTTCAGCCACACCTGAGTTTATACTTGAGGTGGTTTTTGCAAAGCCGCTAGATAACCACAAGATCAGGGCTGGTTGGCGGGGAACCAACCATGTGGTTACCAACTTTCAGCCTCACCCTGATCTCTGGAGAGTTCCATCAGCAATGGCCAATGATTTAATCAGTTTTGCCTGCATAAGGAAGCCTCCACAAAAATCCCTAAAGTTGAAGTTGGGAGAACTTCCAGGTCACTGACTATGTGGAGGTCCTGGGAAGGTGGCACACCCAGAGAGGGCGTGGAAGCCCACGCCCTTTCCCACACACCTTGCCCTGTGCATCTCTCCCATCTGGCTGCTCCTGAGTTATATCCCCGTATAGTAAACCAGTAATCTAGTGAGTAAACTGTTTTTCTGAGTTCTAAGAGCCATTCTAGCAAATGGTGAAATCTGAGGAGGAGGTCATGGGAACCTCCGATTTATAGCTGATCTATCAGAAGCATGGGTGACAAACTGGACTTGAGGTTGGCATCTGAAGTTGGGGGTAGCAGTCTTGGGGGTTTGAAGCCTTCACCTGTGGGATCTGACTCTGTCTCCAGGTAGATAGTGTCAGAATTGAGTTAAGTTATAGGACACCCAGCTGATGTCTGCAAAGAATTGGAGAATTGCTTAATGTGTGGGAAAACCTGGATATTTGGTATCAGAAGTGAAGTATTGAGAGTAGAGGAGAAACACAGAAGAGTGTTTTGCTTTCTTCCGGCCTCAGAAGACTGCAAATGTCTCAGAGATGGGGTTCCAAGAGAGTTACTTGCTGTCGTTGTTGTTTTTAATATTCACACACCACCTAGCACCACATTAAGCATATATTTGATCTTCAAGTTAAAATTAATTGGTGACTTTTGTTGATTATTATTTAAGATAATAAATTTTAGATTAACCTCTACGTAATCAAGGATTTAATTCAGGGGATTTTGGTCAGGGATTCTCATTGTTATTGTTTTAAAGCCGGAACAACCAATAGTGGTATTAAAATGCAGCCACAGTTTAATAAAATAGTTAGATTTGTGGCTTCTTTGTAAAGCTAAGAGCTGGCTAGAAAAATACCTAAAAAGAAAAAAATTTTTTTTACTGTTTTTCTTGATCAAATTGTGTCAGCAAGATACAAACAGGATGCTCTATTTAAGTGTTAAAATTCAAGACCTAAAGCTCAAGTAGCTGTGTCCAGTGAATGCTTGAAGGGCGTGGCTATTTTGAAAAGGAGTGGTAGCTTGCAGCTTGAGGAAAACCAAGGAGGACACAATGGGAATCATCACTGAAAAGCATTCCAATTTTCAAAGCATATAATTGTACATGTTACAGACTAAACATTACCCATTATGCAGATTGTTGGGGCCATCTAAATGTTGCATAAAATAGTTTAAATCCTGAGGAAATATTTCAACACGCTCCCTATAGTGTGAAGTATCACATTACATGTTTGCATTTTGGAAGCCAGGAGTATGACTGGAGAATGAAGATTGGGTAACCAACCTTAAACCACAAATTTACTGCCTTGACGCTTGTGTGAAATTAAACCAGAGCTTTCCATTTCAAAGCTGCTATATACTTTCTATTAAAAAGATCTCTTTATTTGCTTATCAATTTTATATCATTTTAACATTGTTATAAATAAGTTTTTAAAAAGATAAAACTCCTGATTTTCTGTAGAAGCAAATTCAAAACCTCAGGTCAAGAATACAACAGATTAGCAATGCAATATAGTGCTTACGTTGTATCTTTTTGTGATTGAAAAGTGCAATGTTCTTTTTAAATTTTTTATTTCAATGTTTAAGAGATCATTTAAACAAATAGAGGATCTCATGAAATATAGCTTTACAAAAACTCAAGTTGTCAAATATGGGACCAGCTAGAATGTGGATATAGAATTAAAAGAGCTGATGTTTAAAATAGCACACGCATATATTTCCCATTTATTTGATTTATGTCTTCTAAAATATGATGGTCTCTTGCTTTAAATCTTCCTTGAATTATAATTTTATACTGACATTTTCCCTGTTATTAGGTTGTAATTCTTCTGAGTGCAGTGTCTATGGCTCTCACATCCTGGTGTCCCCTGTATCTTCCTGCTCTACACTTATTATGCGATAGATGTTTCATAAATGTTTGCTGAGTGAATGATAGCCATGGCCAAAGAAAATCCATTTGTTCTCTGCTGAAAAAATATAGACAATGTGAACTTTCAATATCAAATAAGATTTGTGGGAAATCACTCTTACGACAGAATCTTCTATAAATGAGAAAAATGGAATGAACATGTTTCTGATCCACTTGTAAATTCTTTAAATGCATTCATGCCAGTGAAAGGTAGAAGACGCGGGTCTCTACGCAACATACTCAATTATTCTCTTTACCTAACTGATGTTGAAAAAGTTTTCAGATTTCTAATGGTGGCATGGGCAGATAACGTAAAGAAGATTTTTTAAAAAGCAAGAAATATGATTGATTCTATAAAAATTGTTTATTGTGTAATTTAAATGCAGGATACTAGAATTCATAATTTAAATGTTTACAGGATACTATAGTGGGTGCCATTATAACATTTCATCCTTTTAACAGAGGAGTATATTTCCATAGTGAAGGGCCATGGAAAGTTTGGCCTAGTCCTCGTTTAAAACTGGCCCTGTTTTCAAATAAAGGACATATAGCAGCTTTTTTACAAATTGTTTATGGCGTAGAGAATATAAAATCCCACCACTGGATAAGAAAATTTGAATTTATTTTAGCACATAGAGAACATGGTTGTTTCTAAAGCATTTTGTTTTCCTCATGTTTTGATCCCATTTCTTTTCCCAGGCATTTCCTGGGAACGTCAACTCTGACAGCGTGGTTCGGCATGACTTACAGCATCCAGTTGTTGCCCGCTACGTGCGCATGGTGCCTCTGGACTGGAACGGAGAAGGCCGCATCGGGCTCAGAATTGAAGTCTATGGATGTTCTTACTGTGAGTATCATACTGTTAAAATTTGTGGTGGATTTTGTGATCTTCATTTAATTTGTAATTTTTAATTACTATTGCTTTCTCTGATAGTAAACTGCCTTCTGTTTTTATATATAAATTACATATAAGGTTGTTTGTATGTTGTAAATGTATTTTTACAGAAACATAAATATGAGAATACCTTAAGTAAAGGATTTGGGAAGTAAATTTTGTTCCATAGACTAAAACAACGATGCTTATTAATTAAATTACCTGAAGTTTTATGAAATATTTAAGAAGTAGAAACCTGTACTATTATCCATATTTTTGACTCTTTGTGATGGATTTTGGGTACCTTCTTAAGAACATCCTTCCAGTTCTTTTCGGTTACACCTTTTACTATTTTAAAGCCCACCACTGAATTTTGATGTCAATTATCTTTTACTTGCCTATAAGTTTTATTTGCACCGTTTAAAATCTACTTGGTGACCTAAAAAGTTTATTTTCCTTTAATCATGTTTGTAACTCCCCTTTCGTGTTTCTTACATGCATTATATATGTGTGCATATGTGTATGTCTGATAATTCCAGTATGTGAATTTGGGGCATTGTAGTTTGCTCTCTCTCGTTTCTGTTCATCTTTGCTAGTGATGCCTGTTTTCTCCCCCTCCTCCTCCTCCTCCTTTTCCCCCTTCTTCCTTCTTCTTAGCCTTCTTATCTGCTTGTCCTTCTCAGCCTTATCCTTATGCTTATTCATCCTATTGACTATGATCTCAGTTTCTTCAAACTTTATCTATGGAACTTCTTTCAGACCAAGGGTCATGATGGATTCTTCCAGAAAAGATTTATCCTTGCTTAGTTGCTTCTATGAAGGCAGTACCAACCCAGAATTACTTTATAGTTTGCTTGAGGTTTTTTGAGGCCCCTAGGTAGTATAGATTCAATCTGCAAACATGTTATTTGTGAAAGCCTGTGTTAGAATGTGAATTCTCTGGTAAAATATGTTCCCCTCCTCCCAGGAAATTTTTCTTCCTGCTCCTCCCATTGGCTGGGGGCGGAGGGATGCTGGCTATGGAGAGGGCAGGGAACTGGGATCTTGGCTTCACACAAGCAGTCTCCTGTTAGACTCCCCCACCCCTTCCTAGAGACCCATGAAAATAAAAGCTCGCTATAACCAGGAAATGGCAAATGCCCTATTGACAAGCTTTTTAAAATTAATCAGACTTTTGGTAGTTTATAATAAGAAATACATAAAGCTTTCACCTCTGTTTGAATTTAGTTGCAGAGATTGGTGAAAATAGTAGTTATAATGACAAAATCATATTTTATTAATTCATGGGCAACATTGTTAAGTGAAAACTGAGCTGGTTACTACAAAGGTGCCATGGAGTTCATTTTAAAAATTCTATAGGGGGCCCGGCCCAGTGGCGCAGTGGTTAAGTGCGCGCATGTTCTGCTTCTTGGGCACCTGGGGTTCGCCAGTTCAGATCCCGGGCACTCTTTGGCATGCCATGCTGTGGTAGGCATCCCACATACAGAGTAGAGGAAGATGGACATGGATGTTAGCTCAGAGCCAGTCTTCCTCAGCAAAAAGAGGAGGATTGGCAGTAGTTAGCTCAGGGCTAATCTTCCTCAAAAAAAAAAAAAAATTCTATAGGGCCAGCCCTGGTGGCCTAGTGGTTAAGTTCAGCATACTCCCAGTGGGTGGCCCGGGCTTGGTTCCTGTGTTTGGACCTGCACCCCTCTGTCAGCAGCTATGCTGTGCTGGCTGCCCACATACTAAAAAAAAAAAAGAGGAAGATTGGCACAGATGTTAGCTCAGGAAGAATCTTCTGCAGGAAAAAAATTCTACAGGAGTTTATTTTATTGGTCATCACTTTTTTTATAGCAAATATAATGAATAGAGAGAGAGGTTTAGTTCTTCTGGAGAATTAGATCTTCAAGAGAAAATGTTAACTCTTCAAGAGAAGTTTAAAATGAGCTCTAATCTAAATTCAGGTCCTTTCTACTATGTGTTCTGGGTCTTCCCGGACACAGAACCCTGTGTTCACACATATTCCAGTTGTCAGCATCGTGACAGGAAGGCCAAAACACAATGTGGTATTTTTGTCAGCTTGACAAATTTTCTAAGGGGCATGTTCAGCTTTCCATAAATGAAAAACATGTAATATTCTTCATGGAAACCATGATGCAATTTCTTTTATTAACAATTATTTGTTGAGCACCTTTTATGGATCATGAAGTATGCTAAATGTTAGTAATACCACAATGAATAAGATAAAAACAGCCCGAGGGACAAAGTGGGACAATTAATCCGGTAGTACAGATTATCATAAAAACAGTGAAAGTTAAAATTTGCCCAGAGGCACACAGCCCAAATGATAGAGCTGAAAGGGAAACCTCCATCTGGTACAAGACCAGAGCCCACACCGCTCTTCCGTTTTCTAGTCCTTAATTCAACAAAAGGAACACCCCTGTGACCACCACCAGGTCAACAAAGAATCATATTGACACCTCAGAAGCACCCACTGGGCCCCTTCCCAGCTATTACTACTTCTTAAAGTTAGAAATTCACCTGATTTTTATCCCCATAGATTATTCTTTCTTTTTTTTCATACAAATGGAATCACAAAATATGTATTACTTTCCATCTTACTTCTTTTGTTCAAAGTAATATTTGTAAGAATTACCCATGTTGTCATTTGAGGTATTTGTTCATTTTCACTAGTAGTATTCTTCTATCATATGAATACTCTACAATTCTTTATTAGTTTCATGTTGATGAACATTTTAGTTGTTTCCAGTTTTTGGCCATTTCAATAGAATTACTATGAACATTTCTTATGCGTATAGACCTAGGAAGGAGTAATACCAAGTTCGCATATATGTATGCTCAACTTTTGTCAGTAATGACAAAAATTTCCCTAAAGTGATTGTATCACTGTAGACTCTCCCAAGCAATGTACTAGGCTTCCCGTTGCTCCACAAATTTGGACATTTAGTGTTATTTTTAAAGCTTTAGCCATTCTGGTGGAGGTTCGTTATATCTCATTTAAGTTTTAATGATTATTTTCCTGATTTTTAAAGAGGTTACACTTAGTATTTATATAGCCTCCTTTTTGAAGGGTTTGTTCAAGAATCTTGCCCATATTTCTATGGGGTTGTCTTTTATTTATCTATTTTTCTATTGTTTAGTAACTTTTACAGTCAATTCTCTTTTTTTTTTCATTCTCATTACAATATCCAGACAGTTATCTTATTTTTGAGATGGCTTTCTTTAAAAATAATTATTTGAAACCCAACACTGTCGGTGAAGTTACTTCAGAAGAGACAGTAAATTTAGGACTAAAGCCACTTTCCAAAAGGCACATAGTCCTCTGACTCAGTGTGGCTCAGAGTATGACACCAAACTCCGTAATCATTGCAAGTAGATTTGTAAAGCTGTGAATTGGTGCTGTCATGGGCTCTTCCATCAAGCCTGAGCTTTGGCAGTCACAAAACAGGAAGGAAAAATGCCTGAAACCAAACAGGAAGCTGGATTTCTAGTGTCTAAGCCCCTCGGGGAGGAAATCATCTGCTTTGAGAAACTGTAACATTTAAACCATACATGCCAGTGGAGTAGTGATAAATTGGCAACATAAAGTAAAACAGAAATTGTAAAATAGCGTTGTAGTAGGTTGTAGCAAATTGAATAATTGCCCTAAGAGCCATCAGGTCCTAATTCCTGGAACCTGTAAATGTTGCTTTATAAGGCAAAGTGTTTGCAGATGTGATTAATTTAATGTTCTTGACATGGGGGAATAGCTTGCATTATCCAGGTGGGCTCTGCGTGCCATCACGTGCATCTTTATAAGAGGTGGGCAGAGGAAGATTCCACAGAGAAGATGGAGGCAGTGTGAGTGCAAAGGCAGATATTGGAGTGATATGGCTATAAGCCAAGGAATGTTGGCAGCCACCAGAAGCTAGAAAGAAAAGGGACAGATTCTCCCCTGAAGCCTCTGGAAGAAGTAGGGTCCTACCGACACGTTGATTTCAGCGCTGTGAGACTGGTTTAGGACTTCCGGCTGCCTAAACTGTGAGAGAATAGCTCTCTGTTGTTTCCAGCCACTCCAAGAGAACTTTATACAAAGATATAAACGTTCTAGACCTGCTCTAGCCACTGGCCACAGGTGGCTATTGAGCACTTGCAGTGTAGCTAAGACACTAAGCTGAAGAACTAAATTGTTAACTGAATTGAATTTTAATTTATTTGAATTTGAATTGAAATAGTGCGACTGCTGGCTGCCGTCTTGGATGGTGCCGCTTGGAAGAACCGAAGCATCTGCTGCTGCTTATTTTTCTCCCATGTCCTTTTATAATTTAAACAATCTATGACATTAATTTTTAAAATGGTAGTCTCTAATTTTTTTTTTTTTTCAGTTTGGAAAACAACAATTTAATCATCCTGGAAGGTGTCTTTACTGTTGAAAATTTGATGACTAGTCATTTAGCACCTAACCAGATCCCTCACCAGGCCATTTTTCTAACCAATGTCCAGATTAGCTCTCATTTGTCTATTTTTGAAGAATGCAAATTATATTTATCTCTTTCTGAGAAAAATATACATGTTTTAGGGGAGAAAACATATTAAAAACATTTGTTACGGACAGCTTTCTCAACGTTCCTTTGATTTAAAGTTTCCTCTACTGGAATTCAGGCTGGCGTGCGCCCTTAGAAGATGGCCCTCTATTTTTCTTAAACTTAATGGACTATTGCCTCAAGGCCTTTGTTTGATTTTTCCAGGAGAAAGGGAATCATGAATCCTTGAGTAGGGAAATGGGGATCAGATACCCTCTCCCATTTTGCCCTCTGAGGACAAGCAATACTGTGCAGTCCAGGGTCCAGCAAAGAGAAACTGGGCTTGCATCGCTCCTGGGAGAGAGAAATGCATTCTCTCATCTTTCTAGAAACCCCTTAGAGGCTTTATCTGAGATCTGTCTTAAACCTGCAGGTTAGGGCATGGGCTTGTAGGTGCTCCTTTTTCTT